TAAAAGTTACATACTTTATCACTAGAATGTCTGATAACTCCAAAGAGTTGATCATATCTTACTCTACATGTATACCTCATTGTTGCTTTAGAAGTTTAAGATTAGGGAAAATTAAATACAGACAGGACTAAAGCTATGTATTTAAGATCTTAATTCAGCTTGTAGCTTGATTTTGTTTACTGTTGATTTATTAAACATCAAAAAGAAAAGGGCAGGAAAACTTTTAGATTGTTTATAGTCAAAGAAGAATGAAGATTTGAAATAGTACCCAGGAAATTAAGAGCAAAATAAATCTTTTTCCTAAAATACTCAGCTGAGAGCAAACTTTTTCAAGTCTGTTTTTTAAGCATGCCAGTTTTCTTTATGATTATAAAATAATACATACTGAGTTTTAAAAATAAAGAATTATACACAGAAGAAGTACAAACCACTTGTAGTCTGGCCATATAATTACTGCTATTAGTTATATTTCCTGGTTCATGTAGTTTATTACAAATGTTTATGTCATAACATAGATACCTGTTTATATTAATATGCTTTTTTTTTTAACATTGTTTATTATTCTTAGAAATAGTTTTAATGGCTGTATGCACAGTAGCCCATTGTTTGGAAGGCCTATGAGGTATTTCACCACTCTCCTTTAGTGAATGTTGAGTTTACAAGTCCAGGTTTTTGCTGTTACAAATAAATGTACAGTGTTGTTATTTTCTTACTCGATAAACTGGGATACATCTCTGATACTGGAAGTACCAGGTTAAAGGATATACCGTATGCCGAGGACATGAATAGCTTTAGGACTTGTCAGTTGCAATGTCAGATTCTACCCCAGAAAGATGGTGCCAAAATGATTTTTTCAGCTTTCATTTACCACATCTATGAGGCACTTCCATGATTTTCTGTTTCATCATTAAGTATGGAGACTTTTTAAGCCATTTCTTGGTTTAATCATTAGTTTTAAGACCATGGCTCACATTAAAGGTGGATTGCTTAAGTCACTTCTAGAATTGGATGAGACTTTAAATATCACATATATGTTCATAATAATAATTGAAGAGAAAATACACAGCTGCTATGGTCTCAGCTTTTTCCTGGGGATATTTGAGGTTGTTTCTGTAAGTCACCTTCTGTGCCTCACACTGTGCGGTATTGGTACTGTGGGGAATTAGGCCAAGAAATAAAGGCAGCAGGCTGCTGTTTACTTGTTTGGTTTTTAATTGGTTTATGTAATCTCTGAACTGTTTTTTTGGAGTTTTTTTCCAATAAATAATTACTTGTAAGTTGAATGGAAAACAGAAAGCAGATTGATACTGATACACATTTCAGATCTGGGGAAGATAGCTTAGAGAACTGGTTCTTTTTTGTCCCATCACTTAAGAGTTTTTAAATTCAATTTTATAGACCAGTGTTACTTTATAAACTACCATTATTATCTTAATTGATTTGAGCAGCCTGCCAGAGTCACTAGGAAGAATGAGAGAAACAAACTTAGGTAATTGTTAAAGTCGTGTGTGCTCTGTTCTTGGAGTCCAAGTTTGGTATAGGCATATTTGTATTAAATTTAGCTTACTCTTTAATCAAAACCATGCTTCATCCTGCTGTTTTTATAAAATGGAGGGAGAATGCTGAAGAGTTGGTGTTCTACTAGAAACATCCAAGGTTTTCCATATAGCACAAGGTGTCCAAAGGTTTAGAGTTTCAGAGCGAAGTTTATCAACAGGTCATAATTAATAGTTCCATCTGGAAAATATCTTAGGGCTAATCAGTGGTGCATCAGAGGTGCTCAGCCATAGAGGAAATGCAGCCTGAGTGGGTGGGCAAGGGGAAATTTTGTTAAGCCCAGGCATATTATGGAATAAAATGCAGAATTACAGGAAGTTTTGAGACAAGCAATTGGATTTCAAGGACATGTGCTTAGCACCTGCAGTCCTGGGCTACCCCCAACCATTGAGAAACTAAGTTCATTCATATCCCTGCTTGTGGTGTCACGTCAGTGGAAGATGAAAATCTGTGACAGAGCCCAACCTTTCCTTTTACTGACAGAGAAGCAGGCCCGAAGAGGTTAAGGCTCCTGCCCACCTTATGTAGGAAGTTATTTTACATTGTGGAAACTACAAGTCAAATCTTATACTCCTAGTCCAGTGCTACTGTCTGGCAGACATATCACATAATTTTAAGTACTGTATTCTGCATACACCCAAATTGTGTTCAGTATGGTTTTCAATGACATTCATTGGATTAGAGAGTACCTCAACCCTGGCTCATTGCTTATTGAAACCAGCCTTGTCATAATTTTGTTAAGGCCGGGCACTAGGAAGCTAGCTGTGTCTTGTGGAGGGCTTGGCTGACCACTTGCACACGTGGCAGCCAAGCTGATAATGCACGGGGCCTGCAGGTCAGGTAGGGAGAGAGGGAGCTGCAGATACGTGCTTCTCGTCGGGATCACAGCAACCACCCAGAAGGGCGTCGCTTCTGATGGAGAATACTGACACCAACGGCAGTGCTCTTACAATTATTTCGATACACAATTCCTGTCTACCAGCCACCATTGTGTTCTTTGACAACACCTCTACAGATTGGGTTGTAAATGGCACCCAATCAATATTTGCTGAATTAAAGTTGTTCATGAAGTACGGCATGTGTGTACATACATGCACATCCATGCTGAATTGTCACGCTAGTACTCTGTTTTATGGGAGGAAAGTCATGAAACAATAGAGCTAAGCTAACCAAGTTCTTCTTTTGGCATAGAATTTACCTGCAAAAGGCAGTTTGTATATCATGTTTTTATTTAAATGATTGTGGTAGTACTTCGTTGATTTAACCCATGCACCAGGTCATTATTCAGAAGATGAAATGTTATTACAGAAGAGATTTTCTGAGAAATGCTGATCAATCATGCAGACTCTACAAAACTTTGAGTTCTAATAATAAACTAAGATAGACTTTTTTCATATGTCCTATTCTTAGAATTCACTTGAAACTGGAACATTATTGAAGGTTTGGGGAAAATAATGTCTGGTGCTATGATTGCATAAATGAAGAATAATCTTGAGGATTTAGAATAAGACCTAGAAATTCACCATTCGTAGAACTTATATATATGTGATGGAATGAAAAGGAATATTTGCTCACACACAGTGAACTTACTGAAAGTGGGATGTGCTAATGAGTTGAAACTGGTAAGTGACAGTGGCACACAGTGTGACTGATGCTGGCATTGTAGTATCTTGAGCACTGTGCGGAGCTGAGAACAGTGGTGAAGGGGAGAACCCTTGTAAAAGGCTGCTGTATATTTTCACTCAATAATTTAGTTTTTATAGAAAGTGCCCCGTAGGGTTGCACATGACTTTCTACTCTTTTGAAGAACTTTAAAATTGTTTTTGCAGTTTGAAAGTATTTGCAAAAACAATTCTAATTAAGTATGATTCCCATAAATAACAACTCTCTGAAAGAATAAGGGAAAGAGAACTAATAATACATATTAAGCCCTTGAATTCCACCAACTAAGCACAGAGCATACACTACCTTAATTTTGTTCTCAGAACAGTCAACGACCTAACTTCCATCTTGTAAGTACATCAGCATGGGGGCTGAGAGTTTACAGAAGCACCCTTTCCCTGGACCGTACTTGCAGTCCACTTCTGCCATCTTTGATTCTTTGATGGGGATCTGCCTTCTGTGCTAGACTGTGAGCTCAGGGCAGGACCACGTCTACACTTGCTGTCTGCTGTGAGGCAGTCCTGGGCTCTCTTCTGGGTCAGGTCTGGAGCATTCCCATCTCCACATACCACCTTGGAAGAACTACATGCAGAGTGGGTCATTGGTGAAAACACTGATTCGTCCCACTCTTAACCCTTTTCCCCAAATAAACCTGCCAAGGACATTGAGCTTACTAAGGCGTAAGCCTGCAGAGTTTGTCACAGAAATGGTCAGTGATACCATAGATTGCACTCCCCGTACCCAATTTCTTTAATGAAAAGTTTCAAAATAGGCAAAAAACAGAGAACAGTGAACACTTCCACCCAGATTCAACAGTTAACACTTTACCATATTTGTTTTCCCCTCTCCTTTTTTCCCGTTTCTTCTTACTCTCTCTTTCTCTCCATGCAAATACATATTTAAAATTTTTTGGTTGAACCTGAATATTCAGAGTGAATTGTTATACTGTGAACCTAGAGTGACATAATCTGAGGATCCAAATTCTAACTGCTTTTTAAAGTTTTCTTCTGAAAGTAAATTGCAGACATTGTATCTTATCTCTTTAGTCTCTCTTAATCCAAATAGTCGCCCAGACTCTCCCTTGCTCTTTTTTACTGTTTAAAGAAATAGTAGTCCCCCCGACTTTTTTACCCTAACAACTGTTGATTTGATTCCCTTAATTTTGTCCTCAGAACAAATGGTATCAGATTTGATACCATTTAAACTGTGGGATGTAATCGTTTGTGGAAAATCAAAGTCCAGATGTATGGGTTTGCCCTCAAATACTTGGTAATTATAGATCACTTTTGCTGCTGCATTTTCATATCCCTTTTCTGTTGAAAATACCTCAGTTAATAAACAGTGCCATTCACTTGCCAGTGTTTGAAGACGCAGAAGACAGCTAAACGTGCTCACCGTTTTTATTGTGCATCACCACATCCACTGTGGAAGTGCAGTAATGGTGTTACGAGAACCCTTATGCATTAAAGCTCACCACTGATAGGATGCGAATAGAATTTGGTATTTAATATGAAATCTGTATAGTTTAATCGGAGGCAGAGCGATGCTCCTATTAAACTGTAGAACCAGGAGGTAACTTCGTCTGTGGAAGGAGGGTTTGCAGCAGGGGAATACTGCCGCTTTCCCTAAAACAATTTTGAATTTCCAAATACCTGAATTGAACACATATGAGATCGTAATTTTCTTCATGTCTGTGTGTGATGTTGTTACACAACAGTCAATTTTAACCAAACCATAAATATTTAAGTCGCAATTTCTCCTTTCCAATTTTCCTCATCCAGAAGGAGCTGGCAAACGACCCCGACTGTTCTCAGATGTGTGCCTATAAGCTGGTGACCATCAAATTTAAGTGGTGGGGACTGCAAAGCAAAGTGGAAAACTTCATTCAGAAGGTAATATCTGTTCAGAATGCAGTGACTTAAATTTATTTTAAGAGTCGAGGTAGCTGTTATGGGATATTTTCTGTTAACCACTTTTTCTCATTTATGAGGTGAAAACTAGTACCCCTATATAATTTCTCTTTGCCCTTTTTCTCTGTAGAAACAGCAAAGAGATGCCAGCAGAGGTTCAAAGGGGTTTTCTTGGGGAAGATCATAGCAATGTTTTGTTCGAAGTGCCTTCCTCATGGTTTGCCCAGCTTTCTGCAGAGCCCTGTTTGTGTGCAGTGTGTGTTCCCAAGGGGGCCTGGTGTTCTGGCGCTGGCTGGGGCGAGAGGCGAGGCCTGGCTTGCTGAGGGGCTGTTCGTTCAAGCTCAGCCGTATTCCCCCTCATCCTTCTAATACACTGTGTACTTTCTGGTGGACAGCATCTTTAGAGGTCTCTACTGAAAATAGTTACTCTCTGAACTTAGGGTGATAGAATCTGAGGATCCAAATTGTAATACCCTCTTTTGTATGTCATCTTCTTTATTAAAGAGAAAGTAACATGGGCAGCTTGATCTAGAAATTGGGAAGAATTGCAGTTGTAGAAATACATAGTATAAACTCAGAAGGAGAATGGGAGATTTCTTTGTTCACTTTTCCTGTGGCACGAATATTTATTCCATTATCATTATAAAGAAGCCTCTTTTATATCTCTGAACTCCCTACTAGTTGTGTCTGAGTTTTACCATAACTTTTCTACTTTAAAACTGTGACTGCTCTAACATTTTTTTTAAAAAGATCTTAAAGTGCTGGAGACTTTGATCATTCTTGGGTCTGCTTGCAGTTGGCCTTCAGTAGGCACTCTGTAAATATTGGCTGTCTTCCTTCCTCTTGGATCATAACAGTAGTTTAGCAATCCAGTTGTGACAAATAGAAGTCACACAGGTAATTGATGAAGTCCCTTCTGTTCATGGAAAAAAATGTAAAAGTTGAAGATTGTCCAAAAGTACTAAAGTGTACTCACTGTTTGGTGCATTTTTGCTCTTCTTGGGAAAGTTTAGTAAAACTTAATCCAGCAATTAAAACCAGTAATTATATGCATTTATCTTTATATATTTATATATATGTATATATATATATAACATTATATATATATAAATTTATAAAAATTTATATAATATATATATATAATATATATAAATATATATTATATATATATATAAAAATATAAATATATATATATTATATATATATATATATATATAAGGTGGCACTGGCATTAGAGTAGGAAATGAATGGATAGTATGGATAGTAGTATATAATAATGCTTGGTTAATAAAACACCTTATTCCAAAGAACTTAGGACTCTTCTTTCTGTACATATTATCTTCTACCTTGCAGTATTCCTCTAAACTGCAGAGAAGTTAAAAATGACAGTTTAAAGTTTCATAGCAGAAGAAATCGAGATTACCTTTAGTTGTTGACATTGAGAAAAAGGTTAAAATACGTGGAGCCCAGCAGGAGTTTATGTTGGACCAGAACATAGACAGCATATTTTTATCAGTTTCTGATAAATCATGCCACCTTTGCAGGGAAAGATCATTTCACTTCACAGTAAAATTTTTCTTTTTTTACAAAATGATGATAGGATGGAATTAAGATTTCCACTAATCAACATAGTGGTCTTTTCAAACCACGTATATGTACATTTCATGGGTTAACTGGGAGACAAAGCTAATATGTCATTGATCTTACATTTTGCCATCTTATACTATTTTTCTTCTTTGTTTTAAAAGCAAGAGAAAAGGATATTTACAAACTTTCATCGCCAGCTTTTTTGTTGGATTGACAAGTGGATTGATCTGACAATGGAAGACATTAGGAGAATGGAAGATGAAACTCAGAAAGAACTAGAAACAGTAAGACTTCCCATTCTTGTGGAAATTCTCTAATTTCCCTTTTCTAAAACTGCATATGCTTAGTAAGTATAGACTTAGGGTTAAGAATGTTACTTAAAGCCATTCCTTAATTATATATCCTCATCAAACATGAATTTCTTAGACACTAATATCCCTTGACATACTCTGATTTCTCTTTTGTTGAGCATCTTTCATGAATATAGACTAGAGCTTTCTTGATCTAAAATTTGTTACCTGTAAAATGCCCAGTGACTTTGTGTACTTTTTCATGTATTTTCTGTGGTGGTACCTGGTTCACAGTCCTTTTAGACCCTCACTTTATCAGACCAAGTTGCCTTGGGCTCATGCCATTATCAGTAACTTGCTCATGTTAGCACAGTAAGGCCTAGTTCACTTTTTTTTGTAGAAGATTAAGGCTAATGGTGGTATCACCGATTCCAGAAATGCCCCCTTCCCTCCCATAACTAGCAATGAATCCTTATTTATTCATAAGCTTTAGGCAGAAATTGGGTTGATCCTCGGGCTGGAGGTCAGCGTGCCATGTTTCAGTCAAAGCCCACCCCAGCTCCTCCCCACGACCCCTGAGCAGGCCCTGCATGTGTGAGGATCCCCTCTCCCAGGGACAGATTCTTCTCTGACTACTCTTGCATGTGTCTGGTTTTGCTTTTGCTCTGGACTGTGCTTCTTTCAGTTGAAAGTAAGGCCCCACCGGAGAAATGAACCCAAAGAATGTCAGGATAGGCTTGTGGTTTCCATGCAGTCATCGAGAGTCCTGCCAGCAGTCCCAGCTTTGGAAGCCCCGCAGGCCAAGAGTGTTTGATGACCGCCTATGTGCAAGGAAGGAGCTCCATTTAATCACAGGAGAATGGCAGCAAATCAGGTTCTTTGGCACAGAAAGAAATCTATTCGTCTGGCACACAGCATTGTAAAGAATCTGTGTTTAAAATTGCTTACTTTTAGTGATTACAGTAGATCTGCTTCTAATTAGCTTTATACAAACCTTCTGAGAGGACTAGAACATATTTTCTTTATAAGGCAATAAAATGTTTTAACCTTATCTTATATGTAAAGTAAACTTTAGGCAGTCTCCAACTTATGAATGGATTTTGTTCCAGAAGTTTTAAGTTGCTTTTTTGAAATTTGGAACATGATTTCCCATGGAGACAACATTATAAATTGGGGCTTGGTTTCTGGGCCAGCCAATAGAAACCTATTTATGACCTTAATTCCTCATGCTCATAGTATGACTCTTAAGTTCTGGATCTTGGGAGTAGGGTGATAGAATGGCAGGAATGGAAGATTCTCCCTCACCCTTATTTTTAGGCTGGCCTCAGGCAAAATACTGGAAGAATGAGTTTTAGAAATGTGGTTTTTTTGGATTTGTTCCTTTTCTGTCTCTTCTTCTCTTGACCTTCTCATTGCGTTTTTTAATTGTCTGTAGGCTGCTGTTATGCATGCCTGTCCTTCCCCATGCATCCTTGTGCATCACGGTACTTCCTTCCTCTCCTTCATGCCTCTCCCACTTGTTTCCCCTTTCTCAAGAGCTGCACTTCTCTAAGAAGCACCCCTTTTCCCTTGCTTGCCTGGTTTGGGTCCAGAGAGAATCTGCCAGCTCTGCCTCCAGCCCCTTGGAGAAGCTGGCGTCAGCTGAGCATTAAATAGGAAGCAGCATGGCTACACCCGTTCTCACTAACTAAGCTCATGGTATACAACCTTGGCATCTCCAGAGGGGCTCTTCCACCACCAAGGTAACACAGTAAACAGACTTATTTTTATTGGTTTGTCCTCTCAGGAAGGAGGCTTGCTTTTGGTTTGGATTTTATGCAGGACTGTCCATAACATAAGGAAGAGAAGGGTGATGGATGAAGCCCTCCATGGTTTGGGCTTTGACCCCTGCTTGCCTCTAGACCTCCTAAGACAGAACTTGGCTGATAGCCCCTCCTCCCCAGGGGAGCCCTGAGGAGGAGGTGGGACTCTCCCTCGCCTGTGGCAGTAGGCCTGTGGCTCAGCTGCTTCTCTGTGCATGTCAATTGTTCGTGAGTTGGGAATTGCACTGGAAAAGAAGATGTAAGATATACAAGCAGTTAGGCACAAGCCCAGTGTGTGAGAAGGTTTATCATCATCCTTGTACCTACATGGCTCAACTGATTCCCTTACGAGGTTGGCAGGAATCAGTCATTTGTTCAGAGTTGGGGGTACCTGGGAATTTCTTTAGTAAATATTTCAAAACTACTTTAAGGCAGTTTCAACACTTAATGTTGATCATCTTAATGTAAAGTCCCCTGTAAGTTATTCGCTCTAGGTCATTGGGCAGTGCTTTGCTCCATCGCGTTGCTGCTGCCCAAGTCCTCATGGCTGATTTCTGAGCAGCTGCATACCCTGGGCTGACGCCTGTAGGCCGGGCGCCTACGCAGGAGGCACCTGCCGCCTGCCCACTGAGGCTGATCATTTGCTTTGTCTGCTTCACCATGGAGGAATTTCCCCCTTTCTTGGGGTCCTAATTCCCTGACACCTGATAGTAGAATTTGATACATCATAATTATTCTTAATTCACAAGTATTTTAAGGATTGGCTTTCCTTCATGTTTTGGCCCTGGAGGGGAGTAGCAGCATCTTGAGAGTTTAGGCGTGAGAGGCGAGTCCCTGCCTATAGCCCTGCAGCGGCATGTGGTACATAGACTCAGATGAAGGAATACTCTGCCTTTCTGTTCTCAGCTGGCACTTCTCTGGGGCTGTGGGTGTGGGAGAAGTATTGAGTTTTAGAAATGTGGTTTTTTTGGATTTGTTCCTTTTCTGTCTCTTCTTCTCTTGACTTTCTCATTGCATTTTTTAATTGTCTGTAGGCTGTTGTTACGCATGCCTGTCCTTCCCGATGCGTCCTTGTGTCCTTTGTTTCTCATACATTGTTTCTGTGCTCACTCGTTCTTCCTTTTGTCCTCTCTTTGTAATAAACTTTCCATAAAGAATTCCAGTCAGGGACTCTGGTCTCCAAAGCAGCAGAGGTGGCCACACCTCGTGGCTGTCTATCTGGTCTAGGGACTATGAAAATATGAATCAGACCATCAGGGCAGTTTCTTAGATTATATTGGTGAAAAGTTCATTTACCCTTGACTGTCTTTGATAATTTTACATCATCAAGCTGCAGGCTATTTGTTTCCTAGATTCATTAGATAAGACATTTTGTGCTGTGTAAGAAAAGCCTTCTGCAAGATTTTTTGCAGGCCGATATTACTAGAGGGCCATAGAACATCATTCTCAGTGTGGATATGGTTATAAACAGGGAGTGGTCACTTTACAATCTCTTCTAGATCTTTTTTCTTTCCCTTACTAACCCAATTTAGAGTCTGTGATTTCAGCAGCTCATGATTTTATTTTACGTTTAGATGCGTAAGAAGGGTTCCGTCCGAGGCACGTCGGCTGCTGATGTCTAGATGAGTCCCCTGTAGGGTCAGAGACAATATCAAACTGTGTAAGTGAAGACTTGGGTAAAAAGAACGTTTAAAAAACCAATACCTTTTTGGCAATAAGTAGTTAACTTTCCGAGCAGAGACTAAGTGTTAAATGTGGTTTAATTTTTAGACATTAGGAGATGTGTGTAAATAACTTGTGTTATTGGTCTGAAGAATTTTATCTGCGAAGCAGGTTGGATTTAGTAATCCTGAGTGAGTTCTTCATGTGAGCAGTAGAGTGTTGCTGCCAGGTGTATGTGCTCCTCATGCAGCTTTGTCCTGGGAGCCAACTGATTTTCATCCATAGCCAGTTAATTGGCCTATTCCTCAGTAGGACCAATTGTGGTTAGTAAGGAAATATGTAAGAGCACTTTAAATCAAACCAACGATCCTTTACCCATACCATACCTCAGTAATTCTGAAAGTCTTCCTTCATGTTGAGCCTTCAGTTATCTTTACAGTTGGCTTTAATGTGTATAAATACACTTTGGTTTTCATTTACAGTGTAAGACATTCCTATGGTTTCATTTAACACAAATTTATATGCCCAGATGAGATTTTCCTATAGGGGGGAGAAGCCTCAGAAAAACTGCCCCACCTATTGAAACCAGTGTGAGTAAACAGAAAGCAACAGTCCACTGGTGTCATTTGTTAATACTGAACTACAATGTCTGTGGAGGAAAAAAAACAGGACAGAACACTCTTTTCCACTGGCCCTTTGCTGTCCCCTTATGTGTGCTGCCCTATCTTTAATAATTGAACATGGGAGTAATGAAGTGTTCAGTTGTAGAGAGGTGTGAAACAAATAATAAATGAACTCTGCCAGGATGCCTCCAAAAGCCCTTTCTTTAAATTCAGAGTTCATTTAATGTAAATTTTAAGCCATTGTTACTTTTATTAAGTTCTTCTAAGTTTCTGTGATATATTTCTGTTTCTAATTTATTTTCTCTGTACCGAAACAAAATGTTACGTCATTGATAAAGAACCACATCTTTAAGAGATTTAAATTTTCAACATGCAGTAGTTGGGGTACACTTTCTGCCTAAAGTTGCTATATTGAGGTTTTGGGTTTTTTTTCTGAAGAATGTGTGCAGCAAACTACTGCCTGAACATTTTCTTTGTCTCTCATGTTTTCACACATTGCCCTCACTGTCTTTTGCTTTTCTTACAGTTACGTAATCAAGGTCAAGTAAGGGGAACAAGTGCAGCCAGTGATGAGTGAAGAAGAATCTGACCAGTATCTCACAGTGTTGATGCTTTCCAGACGTGTGCTTGTGATTATGTTCTCACATGCACAGGTTCCCAACCACGTGTGTATATATGTTGGTGTGTGTGTATCTGTAGCTGTATATAAAACGCATGTAGAGCTACAGGTGAAGGTGCACACACTTGTGTATATATGTACATACAAACATCCTGAAGGAATTAGTACAATTTCTCCAAAGTACTGTACCTATCTTCAGCAAGAATACAAAAGAAAATATTTTCAATATATATCTGGAACAGATTTTAATAATTATCAGAGTAATACCATTAATGGACAAATTGACTGCAGCTTAATAGTAGCTGGTATGTTTCATAAATGTCAAGTTGTGGACCAGTATATATATAGCTTTTTATTACTGTTCTGTTATTTTAAATCAGTCTCTTACAAATTTTTATTTTAGTTCCATTAGCAACAGACTCCCACAGAAAAACTTATTCAAAATCTTTTATATTCCAGTGAATCTGGAATGTAAAGTCTGAATGTATTTATAATGATTTGTTTCTTGATGGTCATTCTCTTACAGCCAAAATGGACAGTGTCTCTTAGTAAAGAGTAAACTTACAGGCCAATTTTTACTTGTTTGCCCTGAGGGAAAAATCCTTAAAAAAAAAAAAAATTCTGGTTTTTATTGGATTTTTGTATTTTAAATTTCAAGTATTTTTCTACATCAAATCTAGCAAAAATGGAGATATGATGGTTTGTAATTTACAATAAACACTTTTCAGGCTCCTGTAAGGCAAACAAAGAAAGTGATGAATTAATAACATTGTAGGCTGTTTAGAAAAATTGGAAGTAGAGTGCTTCCACGGAGTCTTGTTTCTGGAATGACTGTTTTCTGAAATTACAGCTTAGAAACTATGCAAATGATATGATTTCTCACAGCTCATATGACAAAATATAGGTAGTGATGACGTTTTGCTCTTTTCATACTGAAATACACTTTTAGCGGGAGACACCACCGCCTTTGAGGTAGGATGAATTTCGGAGGCTGCACGAGGCTTGCCTGCCCACCGTTAGGAGGCCCTGCTGAGGGGCTGGTGTGCCTCCACCTGTTCAGATGTGCTCTGTGGAGGACGTCACTGGAACACATCCTGAATAGGCATCAGGAAAATGCTGGTTAGAAACTGCCACCATTTTTTTTTCTTTTTTTAAAGTAACAATAGCTAGGTATGATTTTTATCAGCTTTCTCTGTCTGAATCCAGTCTTTCTGTCAGTCCTGGAAGCTTGACTAGAATGATACTGTTGAAGCCTTCAGGTCACAAACTGTCTTCTTTAACCTCTTGTCCCTCCTCCAGCATGTCAGCCCCAGGAGTCATATCACATTGGTAATCTGGTTTGCTGACAGCCCTGCCCTCGCCGCTTTCCGTTTTCCCACATGTCCTGTGTCCCCACTGAAGTGACTGCAGTGACTCAGACAAGGGTGTTTAGGATGACTGCTGCATCGCAATGCCCTGTTATCCTTGGCTACAAACCCCACATTGCATATGTCCTCTGTGTACTCAGGATCAAGACTGATGTTTACTCTCTGGGCACTGTTGTAAGATAGGTTTTGTCAGAGCATCATCATTGTTTGCAAAGTGTTTGATGCAAGAAAGATGATTGCTAATTTTGTGAAATAAAGAGTCTAGCACTCTCCTTTTAATGAGCTTAACTCTCTCTGGCATCTTAGCGTCATTGGGAGCTGGGGCGCACATAGAAATGAGAGCCCAGCGCATGTATTTTAATGTTTTTCTAACAACTGTGGAGATTTGAGGGAATGTGTGGTGAATGTAAAATATCTAGTTTACTTGGCAGTCTCTTGTGTAAATTACAGTAAAACAAAGTAAATGAAATTTAAACAAAAAATAAATTTGATCACAAAATGCCACTTGTGTGCTTGAGTGGTGGTTTCCGTGACACCATGTCTGGTCAGGATGCTGTGGACCATGTCTCTGCTGCCGTTTCAGGAATTCTTTGATCTGCGGCACCACCACTCTGGGAAAAAAAAAGAAAAAATCGGTTTTAAAAAGGTATTTATTGCAAACTCCTTGAAATGTGCTTATGCCATATTAAGTTGTTACCTTTGGTTTCTTACATAATTTTCTCTCTAAAAGCTAAGCAGTAAACTAAAGAAGGGATGTTTATTATTAGTCTCAGAGGTTAAAAATTATTTTTAAAGGAGAATAATACAGAAAATTTCCATAGTATTTTTAAAAGCACTAGGTAAGAATTTTGTCATTAGATTCTGACCATTCAAGACAGTGACTTTCTGGTTTGGGGCAGTGTTTTGCCTCCTTCTTTAAGACCGTCGTTCCCAGTCTTGGTTCCGACTTAGACTCTAGAGCTGCTTGATGTTAGGAGAGGTGGCCGAGTATCTGGATGGACTTCATATATAATGTTGTATTTCCGGGGTGTTCTGTTTGTTTTCTGGGGTAGTTGGTGTTTTATTATAGACTTAATGTTTGCATTCACGTTGCCAGTCTATATTGAGCATCAACGATCTGAGCATTTGTACGCCCAGCACAGATGTGTACAGATGAATCACAGTTCAGTGTGATAAGTCGTTATCTAACAGTAGAGAGCTCTTAGATGTCATCCACACTGTACAGATGAGAAGGCAGATGTTCAGGCCAAAGGCAGCTGACAAGGCACTGGGGACCTGAGGAGCCCAGGATGCTGGTTCTTGGGTTGGTGCCTAAAACTGTGGACCTAGGATCAGGTTCACCCGTCCTGGCCTCTCACTGTGTCTTGGGCGCCTTCTCTATTCACGGAGGCCAAAATGCTCTGCTGTGGAGGGTGCAGGGCCAGTTGAGACAGTGCATCCTCGAGCACATGCTGGGCCCTCTGCCGCGAGATTTCTCCTTTCCTATCCCATTCGTTTACCAAACTGCCTCTTGGTTGATCTAAAATCTCAGTGGGCTGAGCATCTGGCTTTTAAAAAGCTCACCTTTCTCTCCCCCTTCAACTTGCCAAGCTGTAAAGTCACATCCCAGCCTCCTCCTCAAATCTCGTCTCTGAGGAAGGTAGCCATTTATAAGTAGTTGTGTTCATCTCTTCTCAGCAGCTGAATTGACAAGAGGTCAGTGCCGGGATTCCCTGTTCTTGACTGTGTGGAAGGAAAATATTCTGGCTGTTCTTAGGCCCTCAGGTCTGAGAGTCACTGAAAGTTAGGATTTTTTCAAGTTACCTTCACTGGCAATTCTAGGATTTGGGGCTCTCTATAACTGGGAGGGAAGGAAAATGCTAGGGGTCAAGTTAAAGATTGTCCCCCTAAGCTTGAGGCATCTACTGCCGACTGCTTCCTAGAAACCCTGCCAGTGTCACTTGGGGTTGTTTTCTGACTTGGAAATGTTGAGCAACAGCAAGTTCCTTCAAAACCTGTTCTTCAACCAGACTGGACTGAAAAGGTAGACATGGAAGATACTCTAAGTACCTCTCACAGAAGTTCCAAGGCCGTGCAAAGCAGAGCAGTGCTTGGCAGCTCAACACACCTGACACCTTGACGTCCATCCCTTTCTTCTAAAGGTGCCATGCTCTGAGTTTATTGTTTAAAAGAAATTGGGAACTAGTTTTGTTTGCTTCCCTCTCTCCCTCAAGACCGCTTGCACTCCCCAGAGGGGGTTTTTATGAAAAACCACTGCTTCATGACTTCCTCAGCCATTTCTCTCCCATTGAGTAAATCATGAATTAAAATTTGTCCCTGGATGAAAAAAGAATGTCTCCTCCATTCTAGCCATGTTCTTATTGTCCCCAGAAGAAGACAGTGTTGAGTGTTTGTTCTGTTGTTCTCGGGCCAGGTCCGGAAACATTCAACGCGTGTAAACTAGAGGTTCTCCACCCTGGATGCACCTTAGAATCACGTGGGGGACCTTTAAAAATGCCGATTGCCCACCAGTTGCTTTCTATGGCTTGGGTTCCATGTGCACTGTTTCCAGGGAAAGAAAGCTGAGAAAACTCCCAGTCTCCCTGAGAGATTGCCGAGACGACCTCCTCACCAGGTAATCAGATCTCTACCCATTCTTCAAAGCCAAGTGCCACTGTCCCCACACAGCCTACCTTGGCCTGGAGTGATCTCTGCAGCTGTCCACAACTCATTTGGCTCGTACAGACTCGGTGCTGCCTTCATAGGTTAACATGTTGGCATCTCTCACGTCTGTGTGTTTTGCATCCCGGGTTAGCTCGGGAACTAACTGCCCATGGAAAGGAGCCACAGTTGTATCCCAGAGTCACCCCCGCCCCACCTGCATGGAAACTCTGACTCTCAAACGGCTCCTTTTGCTCACAGCAGATAACCTTCCTACCCTGTGCAAGGTCCTTTTTGAGTCCTGGGATTACAGGGGAGGGGAGTTTAACCCAAAAATGAGATCTAGTTTTCTGTGCTCAGAGAACTAAAGCCTGACAGCTATCTGCAACAGGATGTGGTGATTCTGGTGGCTAATGGTACAAAGTGTGGTGAGAACAGAGGAGGGACCTCCTGGCCCGCATTTCCACCTCTGCAGATGTCAAAACTGGAGCTTTAGTTCAGACTCGTCAAACATAAAGGAGTCTGAAACTCAAGTCTCTCCTCCTCCCCCTGAATGCACTATCTTCTCCCACCAGTTAATTGGCTGTGCTGCCCAAGCCAGAAATCCTAGTTGGTCACTGAGTCTTTAAAGTGCCCCCAAGTGCCTGTGAGACCCTGTCCCTCTTGTCATGGTGCGAGCTGTGCAGTCCTCATCCAGGGCAGGGTTCTGCCGACTTCAGGAAAAGCCTAGACAGCAAAGTTTTCATGCTTTATAAGCCATATGGTCTATCCCAGCTATTCAACTCTGCCCTTATAATGCAAAAACAGCCATAGACAACAGGTAAATAAATAAGCATGTCTATTCCAATAAAACTTTATTTACACAGACAACAGGCTGGATTTGGCTGGTGGGCCAAAGTCTGCCAAGTCCTGGCATAGGGCTTGGATAACCTTACATTTTGCCAGAGAAGACTTTCTAGAACACTGGATTTTGCTGCACCCCTGCCCAGCTCCCTGACACCCAAAAGACCAGTGCAGCCAAAGCCCGTGACCTGTGAGATGTGAGAGCCTCGTTCTGTTTACAAAGGAGCCAGTGATGCTTGTCCATCTCATGGTTGTTGGAAGGTCAGGGATGGGTGGCAGGGCCTGAGCCAGTCTCTGCTGCCTGAAGCATGGATGTTATCCACAGAAAGGGCTCTGAGACTAGGAAGACAATTGCTACTGTTTGCCATCTGATGCCCAACGAGTACCAACCAGACACTGAAGGTGTGATGTGCTAACAAAAACTGCTGCTGTATGAAACAGTGAAGGTAGTGCTGGTTAGCTACACTCCTTTCTCACTGGAGGTGGCATATTTTATTCTGCTGTACGTCTCTTGTCCAGAAAATACCATCTATGGCTTTTAAACTAATGCAGTACTCGTGGACAAGCTTGTTGATCTATATATACATTATCTGTGATTGAAATTTGGCTCTCTGGATATCATTGCTAATGTGTTAATGTGATCTAGGCTTTGTGACTCCTGGTGGGGCACCAGAAGGCCAGGCCTTTGCTCAGAGAACCAGCCCAGAGTTCACCTGAATCAGTAACACTTGACCTTGGGTCGAATCCGTTTACTCCTTGAATTTCTGAGAAGCAGCAAAGCATGGTGACATAATTGCCTCGTCAATCCCTTGTATTTTGACACCACCTGCTAACCAGTCATAGTTAAATTGCCTTGCGCTCCAGACTGAGGGAGGTGCATGGAGTGGAATGGAGGAGTGGCTTCCAGTGTTTATTAATGTATGTGCTAAACAAAAGCTTCACCTCTGGGCATGTCAGTGCCCGCTGACTCCCTGCAGCCTGGAATACTGATGGCAGGTTCCTCAGAGCTGCCTGCACTTTTCCATGGCCTGGGAAGCCCTGAAACAACTCAGCCTGCCAAGCGGTGCTGTGAGGGGCTTTCCATCACTCCAAAAATGTCATTCCCAGAGAGACTCCTCCCAAGTGAGCCTGGAGGGAGGCTTAGGATGAGGCCCAGAGCAGCCGTGTGTAGACATCACACAAGCTCTTCATTCCTTCAGATCAGGGCTTGGCAAACTTTTTCTGTAAAGGGCCATGTAGTAAACTATTTGGGGCTTTGTGGGCCATGCAGTCTCTTGCAGCTACTCAACTCTGCCTTTGTAGCACGAAAGCAGCCTCAGACATTATATAAATAAATAGGCATGGTCATTTTCCAATAAAACTTTATTTACACAGTTGGGCTGGATTTGGCCCAAGGGCCATACATAGTTTGCCAGTCTCTTCTGTAGATTCTTTCCCCCAAACAGCTAACACTTAATAGTGTGGGTCAGGTGGTGTTCTAAGCACAAGATGTAATGGTTTCATTAGGCTCCACAGCCACCCTAGAGGTAGGTGCTGGCACCCTTTTAACAGATGAGGAAACAGGCCAGAGAAGTGTAATGTTTCCAGGTCCTGTTACTGAAAGTGGTGGAGCCAGGGTTGTAATTCGGGGGCCCCTCCAGAATTGCTCTTAAGCACTGCTCATCCTGTCTTTCTGGACAGCCAAACTCCATGCCCGTGGCATTTACTAAGGGTCGATGTGCCGAACGGCTGTGATAAAAATCCTGCTGAGGGCCCCCTGTGTCCTTAACACTTAGGAGCAGGCTTCTTAACTGATTCTTCCCAGAGCTCAGAGCCAAGAAAACGTTTCTTCCTAGACAGTGTTGAATTTCCTCCTCAGTCCTGGTGTCAGGAAACTCCCACATCACATTTTACGCCCAACCGAAGCGGTCTCTTCAGGCAGGCTTCCCGGTGCTCCCCGCCTGTCCCGCCCTCTCGCCCCTCACACCTGAGTTTTGTGATGGCCCTGTGCAGTTCCAGGGCTTGTGGCTCTTCTGTATCCA